GAGCCCTGTGAGTAGGCAAACTGGACCTTCTCAAAATAGAGTGGACAACAAGTAACTGTTGAGAGCAGTGCATGTCCACGGAGACGTTCAACTACATAGAAATCACAGTCAGCTCACGGACACTGTGCAGTACTCAGGATACACTATATTTCAACACAGGTCACCCTGTCTGATATTTGCCATCACCATAGTAACTCATCATTGGTAATCTTTTTGGAATTCCCCACAGCCCGTGCTCCCTTGCTCACACATGCATACACACACACAGATGATTCAGAGAAGCGAGTTGTTCCCTTTGGTGCAGAAAAGAATGTAAGGGAAAAAGGGGAATAAGAGATAGTCTGAAGGTTTCCACTGCGAGTTGTGAGTCACAAACACGAGGGAGGGACGGAGAAAAAAAACCCAGACTATTCTGGGATGGCTGCTATGGCAACATAACAAGCAAGGGGGCAGGTACTTATAGGGGTGTTTCCATAGCAATGCCCTATGTGTGTATGGATAAATATCACATGCCACAAAGCTGGTTGTAACAGTAGGGAATTCTGCTCTACTTTGTTACACAAAGTTTGCTTGCAATTGTTATTTTAGAGATGCCCCCTCCCCTTCCTGTTTTTTCAATATAGCCTGAATGCTCTTTTATGTCTGCAGATGAGACTCGTCGACAAAGACAGATGCTGGGAACAGCTTTTACAGGTTCGGTCTTGCCACTGTCTCACACTATGCAGACAAAGCAGATACGTTACAGAAACCTATCTTCAGGTGTATTACTGTTCCCCAAATGCTTTAAAACATCAGCCGCCGGAGAGTGCAGTAACTCCACAGAACTGACACATTCATGCCTGATGCATGAGCAATCTCTTTATAATGCCTAACAATCACTCATTATTTAACTGTTGTAGTTTATTGATCCCAGGGCAGCAATAAGGGGCTTTTGCAAGAGTATCTCCTCCCTGTGGCTCACTTCCCGTCTGTTGAGCTTCAGTACAAGAAGATATTGTACCTTTCAGAACCAAACATTCCAGTCATAGCTGTAAGTGTTCTACCACTCCAACTCTTTCTATGGGTGGGATACAAACCGCCAGCAAGTTAATACATGAAGTGGCAATCGCTCCTTTCACAAGCATGGCTGAGGTGTCTGCTCATTAAGTTCTAAACTGCGTCTTGCTTAAACGAACACAGCAAAATGAAGTCTATTAAATGGCTAAAAAAGCTGAAACAATGTAGGTTACTGTAAGATGTGCTGACCTTTGCTTTTATACCTGCAAACTACCTGTTTACGACAAGAGACTTTGCACTTATGGTTCATGAGAAAATAATGGATAACCTGGGGAAAATTTGCATAAAGGTGGTTCAGTACACACCCAAACCACAGAGTGTAAAGTTGTTTGCTGTTAGGACTAACTTTTGAATATAATATGTACTAATGTTTGGTAATTAGTGCAACTGGAAGGATGATGAAAGGGAATTATTTTTCTATAGATAGATTTTTTGTTACTAAAGTTTGTAGTAGGCCAGTGATCAGTATTTCATGACCATCATGATAGTGCGTATTAGAGTTTGGTTTACTTACTACAACATCGCTCCTCGTGCCCCACCTACAGATTCTGGTAATATGAGCCAGAAGCAACTCTGGGGTTTCATGTCCAAAAGTGCAGGGGCAGCCTGTTTTCCCTCTGCTGTACCTCTCCTCTCTTCCCTCTTGTCACGCACTTTTCTCTCCCCTCACATATTGACAACTTCTGTTGCAGAACAACATAAAATCACCAAGAAATACATCATGATATTGTGTCTAAACAATTATTTGTTTAAGGATGTTACTTTGCAGGCATTGTGTAGCCATGCCTACTTGATGACTCATATCTTGTCTTTCCCTGTCTTTTGCAGCTATTCCCCGTCATCCGAATCACCTCTGACCTCCCTCATTGTATTCCAGTACTGCGTTACTATGCTGCATTTTAGTGCCACAGGATATGTGCAGTTCACACCTCTTTAAGTGCACGAATGGGAAAAAATTCCCCTCACTTTGGAACCAAGGTTGAGAGCTGAAGGTCACCTTTCTTAAAAACAAATTGTAAAGCATGTAAATATGCATTATACCACTGCCAAGTTTGCACACTTTTCATATGCCCTGTTTTACATGTAGCCTATTTGTCAGTCCTTACTTAGCTTTGCTTGAATTCTAGCTTGGTATATGCACACATCTTTGGCTGTACTTATAACGCAAGAAGCGTTAACGAAGTAGCCCTCAAGTGCTGACTAAAGATCAATTTTCCTGCCCCCATTCTATTTGCTATAATTTACTGTGTGTGTTAGTGTTCACCACACCAGTCTAGGGAAAACTCTACAAAACTTTGAGGGTTGGACTGCGTACGTGTGGTGCCTTAGTGTTGTGTCTGATTGCTAAGAGACATCCCTACAGCTGACAATACTGTAAGCCCAGACACTGTAGCAGAGCTGTATATCTATTTGACTTTGCAGCCCCAGTTACAACCTTTAAAAAACTGTACACTCTATTGTATAGTTGTAACTGTGTCATTTTAGCTAAACCACTTCAAGAGAAACTTCTGTAGCAATAGCATCTGCAATGAGGTTTTTAGAGAAAACCGTTGAATTGCAGCCTCAGAGCCCCCAGTGTTAGCCCTTCACCAACCACCTCACTCTCTTCTAGATCTGTGTCTTGCACTGCCAGATGCTCAGCACATGCGTACCATGCCTGCAGCTCCTTTGGGGGGGGGCGACAGCCATGGAGGGACCGTTTGTGATGAAACACTACAGCCTCTCTGTGTGCTCTCCCCTAACCAGCGCTCACTGCTGCAAGTACTTTTAAGAAAAGATCCCACCCCACCACCTCCAATGCATAGAAAAAAAAACACTGCCAAGAGTGAGGACCTGGAGAGAGGAAGGAAAAGCAGCAACGAGTGTGTGGCTAAGAGAGAAATAAAGACCAGAGGGAGGAAGGCTGGCAGAGCTGGAAGAGAAACTGTTGCTTTTGGCATAAGACTGTGTATTGTTCTTGTGGCTTGCTTTAGTTTAGCTTTTTAACTCTGAAGTTACTAAACACAAATCGCATGTATTGTACCTGATATTTCTACTTTTGTGTTGAAAACCTGACACGACTTGCCTGAAGCCTTAAAACTGCATGGTTACTCCACTTACATTAAATTCACATTTGATCACATGATTAAAAGGCTTTTGTAATACCACTCCTTCAGCAATCGAAGGGTTAGCTGTAACTGCTGCATTGCTGTGGGTGAAGTTAAAGTTATTTGCTCAAGTTACAGCCCTCTTCCACCATGATCCACAGGATGGGTGAGTCATGTGCTCAAGGTCTTGGGTGCTTGCTCCGCTGTTGTGGGAACATATCCATGTGATCTCAGAACAAACTAAAATGGCCTCCCTGATTCAACACTGTGGTGGAAGATGGTTGCGCCAAAATGACCATGAATCACAGTAAGTCGGAAAAAATGACACATATGACTCACTGCTGGATGAATTCCTCTCATGTTGTGCATGTATCAAGAGAGGAAAGAGATCCACCCAAGATTTAAAACTTTAGTGATGTATAGTGTATTCTAAAATGCAGTTATTAAACAAAGACTGGCTGTGCTAAAACAGTAATGAACATCTCAAAACTGGCATTCATTAAAAGGATGTAAGTTTACTATAGGACTACAACTACAGCGACTCTTAAATAAAACATTCATTATATGGGCTGGGCCAGGTGTCCTATTTAACCGGCAGCTATTTACTGCAAACAAAGAACATGTGAACAAAGAAATCAGCCATGACAGAAGTGAAACGATAAACCTGGCTGCAGGTGTGGGAACAGTCAACAACAAATGATCAAAACTGTTATACAAACATTCAAATGGTTGGGTGTGTCCAATTAAGTCAAGCTTTTTTTTTTCCAGTCCAACATTAATTCTGCCAGGCACACAAAACTCAAGCACAGCTTCATAAACAGTTTCCTCAATAACTACAAGGTTTTTAGCCTCATGTCAAACAATTGACTGAAGTCTGAATGCACTAGTGTACCCCTCTCATGGGAAAGGTTTTTTCTTACCAACTTGCAGAAACAGGCTCTGAAACACTGCATGAGTGGGGTGTGGTCAAACCACACAACACACTTTTGTAACCTGTCACGTCAACTAAATAATTCATTCCTTGTTTACAACATTACCTACTGAAATAATCTTGTAGCTTTTAATCAGTGCGCAGGCTCTACTCTTTCCATCAAGGCTGATTTGAACATGCAATTTCAGTGGATTTCACACAATATGACATAACTAAACATTCTGGTGTCCTACTGAGATGTTATAAAGATTCGCTCCAGGCTTCCTCCTGTCCTTGGGCAGGCACAAGCAAAACAAGAGGACATAGTTTAAAGCACGACATTCTCATCTTAATTTGTGCAAACCACAGAACTCAGCCCAGTCATTTTCTCAGTGGCGTCTCTCCTTTCAACATGCCTAGCAAGGCTTTGCCTGCCCTCTGCAGGGATCAAAGGACACCAACCAGTCCCAAAAAAAGAAGGGAGGGAGGAAATATAGTTCTTATGGTTGTAGACTTTAAAATTAGTGTCTATCCTGTATTCACTCATTTACACAAAATAAGTGGTGGTAGTGATGCACAAAATGCCTGTAGCAAGTTACACGTGCACAGTAAATTCATACAAAGCTGAACAGCGTTTACCTCTTCTGGTTGAAAGTTTCAAATCTGGTGCGTGTCTAACCACACCGTGTTGCTGGGTATCAACCTAGCTGGAACAGAGTTATAACTTCTAGAGATAAAAAAAACAAAAGAATTTCAACTGCTGTTGCACTGTTCTACGAGTGTTTATTGATCATGGTGTTCACCATCAACATTTTCTCTGTCTCTTATCTGACTGGTATTCTTGACTGGAAAGGATTTAGGTAACTAAATGCATATGTAGATGGGTTGCCACTCAAAACAAACAAAAATTAAACAACATGCAGATCACAGACATCAAATCCCATAGATACCATTGTGGAAAATGTTTTATTTCGGTCAAACAAACCAGTCTGGGGCCACAGAAAATTCACTCGCCTTCAAAACACTGTCATTCCAAGTCATTCTTGCAGTTAATTAAGCACATGGTGGCTTAGAGTCAGTAGGTTTAAAGTTTTGGAGAGCAGAAGCACAGAGTGCCTTCGTTCAGACGTTCCAGCATCTTCTCACTTGAAGATCTTGCCCTGGTTGAAGGGTTTGCCCACATGCTTGAAGTCTCCCTCCCAGGCAAAGTACTCCTTTATCATGGTCTTGCACTCCTCACTGTCTGGATCCAGCTTGCGCCAGTCATATGATTCGTAGTCGATCTGCCAGTCTTCAGACAGCTGCAGGCAAATACAAATATTTTATTGGAATGAAACTACCCTCCATTTGAGGATGTGAAAATATACCACTACCAGGGATCATCAGATGATAGATTACTCATGCCAGCTTAAGCTGCAATAAAATTTAGCTAAAAACAAACTACAGCAGTGCAAACAACTACTGAACCTACATCATCGCAAATGTAAATTTTGCACTTTTGATACTCTGAGTCCATCATCCAATCATTTCAAAGCAGAAGTCTTTCATAGTGAGTATCCACGAATGACCCAAATGAGCTCAAAAACAAGCAGGGAGCTTTTTAAGGTGAGGACATTGTTGTGGAAAAGTGAGTTTACACTTGAACACTTACAGTGAAGGCCAAGTCCTGGCCTCTGAAGACCCAGATACCGGAGATGCTGCTGTCATTGTTTGTGCCAAACAAGATGACGCTGGCAAAGGCATTCTTTCTAAGTTTGTCCAGGCGCTGGAACATACCTGTTAAGAACATTGAGAATGCTTGATACATGATCAGTATTTTAATCAGTGATTTGAAACAAAAAACACCACATGTAAGAGAAACTGTACTGACACACTGACCACAGCTCTCATGTTTATCACCAATGTTTGAAAAGCCTTCACTAAACACTAGCCTCAAATAGGTTTTTTAATGAGCATTCAGAGACAGCCCAAAGGCTCAAACTGAAATACCTGGTGAGTAGTTGGGTTCAACACTTCAGTACCCTACGGTCAGCCTTGTTTTACTGTGACCACAGCATGAACCAGCCTATTACTCACTGAAACAGAGATGACTGGGATGAATATGGTCTCAAGTTTCTCTTCCCCTGTCAGATTAAGACTCGGTGCCATGACTGGACACTGCCTTGCCCAAAGACAGGGGACCATCTGCTTTTTCTAAACACAGGTAAGTCCTGATCAGAGTATTAGCCTGCCCACACTACCAAGTATTCTTTATCAAGAACTCTTGAGACCCAAGACAACTCAACTACACTTTGAAGAAAGCAGTAGGTAATCTTTTAAAAAAATGTAATTATTCCTAATATAAGAACAGGCTTGAGCAAAGACCAAACCCTGTTTACTCATCCTCACTTATGGATTTGCCTGACCACGATCTGAGGCATCTGAAAACAAAGCTGTGCTTGAATGAAATACGGGTCAAAACCACCTCAACTGATTCAAGAGTCTGGGGTCTATATAGCTACAGAATCTAAAGATTTGACCTACGGGTTGATATTAAAGAATCGGATGGACAGGGCCGATCCATATTCCAGTCCGCAGCTTGCACGACATGTCAACGATCCAGACTCCATTTCACATCTTACCATAAACCCATGGCAACTTCAGTCTATAACCAATTGAGTAAATAATATTAGCTGTTGGGTTGACTAAAATGCCATTTGTTTGGAGATATTGTAGTCTGGAAACGCATAAAGTCAAAACGGCTACTTGTCATGTGTGTAAAGCCAGCGTGCCGAAAGGTGGAAGTATGGCTGCGTCATACAATACAACCAATTTAATCAAGCGCCTACAGAGATTTCATGTGAAAAGATACCAGGAGTTCATGCTAGCTGGCAGACAAGAAAACACCACCAGGTAGCAGACTCTCACAGATGCTTTCCAGAAATGCATAAACCTCCACCAGCCAACACAAAGGCTAAGGGGTTTACAGAGAAGTTGCTCATCTTCATTATACTTGATGACCAACCACTATCTGTAGTGGAAAATGTCAGATTTCGCTGCCTGCTGGACCGCTCAGAGCCCAGGTATAACCTGTCATCCAGAAAAGACACTTCAGAAATTGCTATACCCGAACTATACAACCGAGTGTCATGACATTTAGCGGCGCAGTTAGAAGATGTTAAAGCTGTGAGCATCACAATTGATATTTGGACATCAGATGTGAGCAGCACTGAAGGTGATCCCTCTATTCAGCTGCCACTTCACTGGACCCTGAACAAACACAGGTGAGACAGATTTCTTTTTATTAATAATAATAAACTATTAATGCCCTAACATTAGCTACATTTTAAATAGTAAAATTGTTTTCTTGCATAACCAAAGCTACATGTTTATTTCTACCCCAGAAGTGGAGATTGGTAAATGTTCAATAATTTGGAGAAGTGTTGCTCTCCTTGGCCTCCGACCATCTGGTGGTTGCACTTATTATTCATACTTAATACTTTATTAGTGTTGATTGTTTTACTGCAGTGAAAGAGCTCTTATAATCGGCACTGTGTATCAGAATTGGAAATGACAAAATGGGAATTGGCCCATCACTAGCTGGAAGATGAAAAGTTGTAACTTTAGAAACGAGGAAGCATTGTTGTGAGTTTAAGAACTATAATCTGAATAAATGGAGCATCAGTTATAATTTAACAAGAAAAAAGGAAGACGGCATGAATCCCCACCATCAAAGAAGTAAGGCCACGAAGGAAAAGGATAACAAGGCTGAAAGAAATTTATGACAGCATAAAAATTTACTTCCTTGATCTCTCTTAGATCAAGATGCTGGATGAAGTCCTCACCTGTGATAAGGTTGCAGCTCTTAAAGGCAAGCGTAAGCTCCTCAGGGTATTTGTACAGGCCATACCAAATAGAGTACCCCTCACGGTCAAAGTGCTCCCAGAAGTAGGGTAGTGCTACTGTCAGGGTATCCTCATTGGAATATTTCCTCTTGAATTCATCCATGACAAATGTGCTAAAACAAAACAAACCAACAAAAAAAGAACAGGTCATATATATCAGATGCTGGTACATACAAGGTGCAGAGAATGACAAAGTGCAGAAATTTGATACAGCAAAACAGCTAAGCCACAAACTAATTAGCACACCATCTTCAGATTTATCCCACTAATATAAAAATATAAAGACAGTTACTGACTGCACCACATGTTTAAAAGTCAGTGTTGCCCCATGACGACAAAAAAAACCAAAACACACTAAATCTTAGCAATCTTTCAATGCCCTAAAAAGTCACCTGACATGTGTGAAGTCTCGTTTGTGGCCACAGCATGAACCAGCCTGTTACTCACTGAAACAGAGATGACTGGGATGAATATGGTCTTGTGTCTCTCTACCCCCGTCAGATTAAGACTTTGTGCCATGACTGGACACTGCCTTGCCCAAAGACAGGGGACCATCTGTCCCCAGCAGAGGGGAGTTTCCTGATTGGCGTACACATCTATCACCTCACAACACATGGTCTGCAGACTGACATCTTGACTTGATTCAGTTTTCTCAATAGGTCATCAAATGCTCCAAATGTGCCATGGAATGTCAACTGTGCCCACCCAGTTATTAGCAGTGCTTTAAGTAGAGGGGAAGTACTCAGAGAAATTGTCTGCTGAGGTGATTATGATGAATTAAAAACATGCAGGCTATGGCATGTGGTTGGCTAAGGCTGACTGAGAAGTCTATTAACTGCAAACCCGAATTGTGACCATTCCTGAATGTCAAAACAATAAAAGAATCTGCATACTAAAACATTACAGACAAAGCAAGCATTAAGAGCTTCTTACCTCTTTGGCAGGTGTGCAAAGGGGTCCTTGGCTTTGGGCTCAGCTGCCAAAACAGCATCACAGTCATCCATCTCCTCTTCTGGGGCAGGCTTCTTCTCTTCCTTTTTCTTTTCCTTCTTCTCCTGGGGCTTCGCTGCCTCCTTTCCTCCCTTCTCTTTCTTAGAAGAAGTCTCTTTTTTGGGCTGCATCTCAGCAAACTTCTTGGCTGGATAAACAGAGCAATGCAATGAAAAGTGTATTTTGTTAAACGGTCCAATTATCTGTCTGTTTTTGCACTTTGTGGGACCACTCTCTGGCTAGGACTTGGAAAATAAACTGAAATATTACACACAATTTAATATTTAGTGTTGTAAACCCAGCTCTTTCAGTGCAATCCTGTCCCAACAACTATTCACCTTCCCGATTTTCAAGAAGGATGCTGTCCAAATGTCACTTCATTTTTAATACAGCCTTTCCAAAAGTAAGTGAAGACAGTAGCTATTTCAGCTGAACACCTAAGAACTATGCGACACAAAGTGAGGACTCACCATCAAACTGAGCCATCTTTTCACACAGCTTGACCTCTCCAAGGACAGCCTTAAACTGGGGCTGGTTGACACAGGTGACAAACCAGCGGGTCACATTGGGGTATGGCTGACGGAAAGAAGGCTCAAGGACCTACGGAGGTAGAAAGGTGTTATGCAGCAGTCACACTTAATAAGAGTAGTAATAAGTAGTAGTAAGTAATTTCTAGGGTTGCAGCTACCAATTATTTTAGCAATCGGGTATCCTGCTGATTATTCAACAGCTTAACAAAGTAATTGAATAAGAAACAATTTTACAGGACTGTACCCAACTATGAATTCTGCCAGTCTACTGTTCAGTGCGACTATTCCTTATATATCATAGACTGTCAGAAAATCAACTGGCATGAACGTCACTGATATTTCGACCACAACCACATTATCAGTAATCAAATGCAAAAGAGTGATGGGAAGCTATTTCTGAGCATTTAAAATTCAATAAAAGACAGCTGCTTGTGATGCAAGATTTAAATTGCGGCCTATTTAAGGTGATAATATACAAGCTGAAGTGGTTGAAACCCACAATTAGGTCTTTCTTTAACTAGGAGCATTAGCCCAAAAATGAGTTGGCATTAACCAGGCGGGTGAGAGAGCTGAGCATGAATTAGACATTGCTAAAAAGCAGAAATAATTCTTCAGATGAAAATGGGTTACAAATAGGGCAAATCACACATGGCAAAGCATTTTGTAATGATAATTTTAGTAATCAAGTTGCTTAAGATACTTGAGGAATTGTTTCAGCCCTAGTCATTTCTACCAGCTGCATTTTGGTCTGCTGCACCACCAGGGCCTTCTGGAAAGCATCCTGACTCAAATATAAGTAGATCAAGTCTTACTTCATTAAATGTCATAATTATTGACCAGTGTGTGCGTGTGGCTGAATGTGAAACCACCTTTTTCCTGTTGTGTGTATATCATACCTGTTTGTAGAGCCAGAGCATGGAGCAGACCACAGTGATGTCAGCAAGGCTGACCCTCTCCCCCACAAGGTACGTACGGGTGTTCAGATGTTGATTCAGCACTGCAAGAACCCGCTTCACATCCTCCTTGGCCTGCTCTGTGGCCTGGACAGACACAAGCAAATAGAAGACTATGCAGGTTTACACAATAATCCAATGTCTGCTATATAGTTAAACGCCAAGGGTGTTGTACTCTGACCAACCCGCATTCATCCTCTACCACAGCTACCAAATAATCATTTAAGTCTTTAGCTTGGCCAGAAAACGCTGAGCTACATACCTGCTTGTTGAACTGCATGATTCCCAGAGTGGGGAAGACCCATGCACTGGCTGGAGGGATGATCTCTGAGTCAGCAAAGCTCACCCACTGCAGCACCTGGGCTGCAGCCTGGGGAGTGGCACCACGCAGGGCATCATTGCTTACTGCAGTTAAAAAAAAGAAAAGTGTTTTTCAGAAATCAAAGTCACAATGTGTCCAATGAACACATACAGTGAGTTTTTAGGGCATTAACTCTGTATTTCAACATTCTGATATCCCCTTTAAAGGGAAGCATAGAAATACAGCTACAAATTCTAAGTAGTTTAAACAGTCGGACAGATAAATGCGCAAGAGAAATGTCAAACATCTGAAAAGACCAACTGCTGTAACTAACAACTGTTTTCCATTTAGGTAAGCAGAGACCCATGTGCTGAACATGAGGTGCTCACAATTGTGGCTCACCTGGAATGGAGGCATGCTTTCTTCACAAAGAACAATCCAAATATCTGCCATGAGAAAGACCTACTGCATTTTTAAAAAGTGACTTGTGAATTTAATAATGTTTTGCTGACTTGACTGAAATATTCCACCACAAATCCTAGACCTGTGATAAACACTTGTGTAAGACAAAATGCTTATGTCCATTAAACCTGATGGCATTTATGATACTGAATCTCCTTTAAGACTTTCAATAAACTATAAATATAAACCTGCTGGGTGACACCAAACTGAGAGCACATAAGCCAAAAAAATTAACCACTTAATGATTTGCAGACTTACGGTAGTGAGCAATGGCATTACTCTCAAATAGACAGAAGCCGTCATCCCCCTCGAAGGCAGGTACCTACAAACAATAGCAGAAATGAAAAATTTTACACCATGAGTATGTTTTTATACAGAGAATCAAGAAATTAAGTCCATGAATAGATATGGCATGCAAACAACAATGATGTAGTCAAACCAGTTCTATTTATTTCAACTTTACAATTGGTTAATGAGTTCACAACAGACAACTCCACAAACTGTTTCAGCCACATTAATTGCTGACACTGAAACAAGAGCTACTTTGAAAAAGGAGGACATTTAGGCTGATCAGAACCGCAAAACTGGAGCAACCCACAATTTAATCAACGAAACCAGATGCACTAACCTTGCCCAGAGGGAAGTTGCTGAGGAAGGCAGGACTACGGTTCGTCTGCCCGAAGGTGAAGGCAGGGGTGTTGCTTGCAACTTTGAGGCGAGCACCACTGTACTGGGCTGCAATCTGGGCCTTAAAAGCCCGCCAGTTCTCTGGATATGTGTACAGACTCTGAAGGAGGGGAGACAACACTTTAACTTTTTAACAATCAAATGCATTTTAACTAATGAATTTCTTATAGCAATTTTCAATGTTTTAACAACGCATGTACTCTGGCAACAGAAACAGATCCCCTTCTCCCCTACCCCCAAATTGGTATAGTGCAACTGTGTACTCTCACGGACCATGTGAGCTGATTTGATCCTTTCATAGACACATCTGATCTTGCACATTTGCCGGTATTTTTGGTGATCCCAACCCAAGTGTAAGTAGAATTAATTTATGTTAAAGAATCTGCCTATGAAACTTAATCCAAACACATAAAGATGTAGATGTCTAAGTACTATACCAAAATTACTGAAAAAGAGCAATGAGAAAGCTAAAGTTGCCCTTGGGCGACACTCTTTATCCCTGTAAAATACAGGATCTTATTGTGAAGGACGGAAGTACGGTAACGAACGTGTTTATAGCATTAAATGTTTACTTGGCTGAGAAAGGAACGAACTAATAACCATGGCTATATTAACTAAAAAGGATGAAACGCCGTAAAAATCCAGGTGCACCTGGCATTTACAACTGAGAGAAAAGGTCCCCGAGAAGGCAATATAGCAACACGGGTAAATCTGCACCGCTAGCGCTCTTTTGGCTAGCTAAAGTAAATCTAAAACTAATGACCAACATCATATATAGCTAGAATGTTGAGAAGTTTGACTTTAGTTTTATGCAGTTACATTAACTGAAGACGTTACACGATCATTTATATTTTCAGTTAATTTTAACAGAATGTTAGCTAAAATGCGTCGTAAGCGCAGTTACGTTAAATGCATCTCTCAAGTTAAAAGATGACTCGGTGCTCTCAACACAAATAAAGGATGCCACCCAAATCGAATTGTAGACCATTTAATAAAGGACTGAGCAGTATGGAGGGCAGGGTGAAGCTGGAAAACGTCTTAAGATAAAGCTAACCTGGCAGCCATAGCTAAAAGTACTTTTTAAAAACATGTTATATTCACGTGGCCATTACCTAGCTTTAAATGCTAACTAGTCATCATTGCCTGTAATATAACAAGAGTCAATTTGCACAGCTTTAAACTATAACGACGAACATAAGGCAACTTTTAGGCTAGCAGCAGTAGTCCTTGAGTACTGTCGTTACATATAACCATATAAATGTAAGAAAGTTTTTAACGTTACAGCATTGGAACACCTAAGATAACGTGGCACAAGTCTGGGCCAGGAAAGGGGCGTCATTCAGTTACATTGCAACGTCAGGACAGCGAGCTAACCTCGGTTAGGAAGAACAATGAATGGAGTTCTTTGCGAATAAACTGTATTACAACTACCTAACAAACAGAGAAAAATGTTTACGTGCAAAAGTGCTCAGTAAGAGCGCAGATGGATATGATTTTCGTTGGATTGTGTCAGGAAAGTTTAAAGGACGATTCATGCCTATCCTTTTCTCCATCTTACTCACCCCTGCCGCCATCTTCAGGACGAGAGAAAGAAAGACCGAGGGCGCGCACGGCTGACGTATTTACGGCAAGAAGACGTGCGCGCCCTTGAAATTTCCACGTTCACATATATTGGAATGCTTTGCCTCATTTCAACACGTCATCTGCTATAATGCGTAAATATTAACAGGTAGTCACAAAATTGCAGTAAAAGCATCAAAATTATTGTAACATAAACAAATACTGATACTCTGTAGACATATTAACATACAGAGATTCTTAAGCACAGACAAAAACCAAATATATAAGAACAAATTAAATATTTTATTATAGTATAAGCCCATAAAAAACATGGAAGATGGAAATTATTAATTCTATACGACAGACACTGTAAGGGTTGTATGGGTTACTTTGCTATCATTTACCATGTTTACTGCCAATTTAGCATATCAATGTTATGACAAAGCTGCCTTTGAAGTATGCACCTATAAAAACCTACTAATGTGGTAAAAATAATACTATAGTGTTGTAGCTATGAGGATTCACCACATCATATCAATCAGAGCAGAAAAATATTCATATCCAAAAAAAACTAGGCAACTACATAAAATGTCCCATGTGAAATGTGGTCCTTCTGGGATGCATCAGCTCACAAGACCTGGAAATAAAGTTGAAGGCAAGTTCAACAATCACTAAATCACAAAACAGAAAATTATACATTTTATAAAGTGTAAGCATAAAATTGTTCTATTTTAACTGGAATAATATAACTGAAACAATAAAAGGCCTGTTTATCACACTGTGAAATCAAATTTTCCTTAGTGTACAGAATAATTTTACATTATGCAACGCATTTTATTAATTCCTGCCCATCTAATAAGAAAATCTACCACCTGCATGACAATGTTCTGTGGTGTAATACTTACCCAGGTAATCATCCATGAGAGATCCAATTGCAAACTGGTAAAAGGTAAAACATTTTTTTACATCTTTAAATGAACATGCATCATTTATATAAACTATATAACATGGAATGCACTCACAGCTTTTTTGTATTTTTTTAAAATTATAAATCAATGAAATATATGGTTGTAATTAAAAAATAATAAAAAATAAATAAAAACTTACAATGTCATTTTTGTCCACTCTTGTGCCCACAATCTTTAGTCGGATCTCATCATCTTGTTGGATTACAATGTCCTTGAAAAGAGGAGAATATCTTTAAATGCAAAATGCAGCAACAATAAAATGAGAGGAACCACAGCAATGTTATAAACAGAATTTGACATAAAATTTTATGTTTTACCTTTACTCACTTGCATTTCCTGAAAAATACCTCAGATACCAGTAAACCTATAATTTCCAGAATTTTTACATGCACTCACTTAATTTTAAAAGTTATTAAAGGCCAAGTGTGAAAACTATTTTCAGGTCAAAATTTTATTTACTTTTGGAAACACTTGTTAAAAAAAGCACAATTTTACATACAAGTGGCTGGTAATACAAAATAATGAATATCCTTACCTCATCAACTGTCTTATAACAAGGAGGATTGGAGTTGGGGTCAAACTCCATTTCTGAGGGGATGGACTGCAAAAAGAAACTTACTTGTCAGAAAATATATAAGATGTAAATAAAAGAGCATATCAAAGGCAACTAATTCAGTCAAAAACTATAGCTGTTACACTGACTCACATGACGTGAGATGAAGCAAGACATGGGACCAATTTCTGTGAACAATCCAACCTGAAAGAAATGGAATTATAATTTAAATTAGGCACAAAAGTTATTTGCCACTTCATACTCAAAACATAGGTCTGAAGAACATTTACAGTTATAACACCTCAACAGTGGAGAATTGTATTAGACTTGGCATGTGCCAATATGTAGTCATAAACAGATGTGTTAATTATCTTGGCCAAAATTATGAACTTCATGGTTATTTATATAATTAATATTATATATATATTACAAAACACTGTTGTCTTGTTTTACATTTTTAACTCAGTTAATCAGAAAACATAAATATGAGTTTTAGTCATTAAAATCATGTTTAATACTATTCAGACATATCAGAAGAAAATGTATACATTTGGAAGTAAGAATGACATTCACAGTACATAATACATAATGTCCAGTAAACCTGTACTCTACTGTCCTTCACCTTGTTAACCTGAGTGACCACAGCATCCACCACTTCCCCTTTAAACGGGCGGAACACAATGGCTTTGTACTTGACTGGATAGAGGACAAACCCTCTGCCTGGCTGGATTACACCTGCCCCAATATTGTCAATGGTGGTGACTGCAATGACAAAGCCATACCTGTAGGGGAGACACAAATAAATGAATCACATGTATATACACAGCTTTTCCACATAGAAATCCAAACATAAAATTAATAACTTTGTATTGCATGCTGATACTGCTATGAGGTATTAAAAAACAGATATTTACTCTGACTTGTTCCTTTTTTTAAACTTTAAACTTTTGTTTTAAGTCAAAACTCATGCCTCAAGAGTGTGCACATGCCTCTGCAGTGGTTTGTGATTCACTGTATTTCAGTACCATCAACAAAATGGCAGTTTAACACTTTACAGTCAAATAACATCTGTAACTTACTGTTTAACTATGTTAGGTATTTTCTTAGTTAGGTAGATATTTAGGGATTTGTTGTCTAGAAATGTGTAAG